AACCGCTCTTTAACCGCACAGCTCTCGCTACCGCCGCGCAAACCATGGCAGAAACAGAGGATCTTACTGTGATCCCTCCCTGTTCTTCAACCTTCCCCCCGCCTATTGTGAGACTGAGACGGCATGGGCACATGGCACGAGGGGCCACGGGAAACACATCCCACTCAACGCACGACATCCCGTCCGATTCTCCATCCCCCCCCCCCCCCCCGTCCGCCGTCACCCAAAGGGCCGCGCGACAGACACCGCGCGGGGTCATTGGGAAAAGGTGAGCCGATCTTCACGTTGACCGAGAGAGCATCGCCTTCGCCCCCTCCCCCCCCTGGTCTATCCGTCCCTCCCGACGACCAGCCCTCGGCCGAGGGGGGGTGTATTTGGGGGCTGGGGGGCTTGGGCGAAAGTTGGATGAGGTTACGGGGTACGGGACTGCTTTTCGTTGGCGGTGGAATGAGAATGATACTACTCTGCGGCGGCCACCTTTTTTTTGCAGACCGAGCCATGCTGCCATGGTAAAGGTAATTAAACCTCAGCCTACTATGTTTCTCCTGCTGCATGGCTGCAATACTACGACAACAACGACTGCGGAAACCAACCTTGCCGCAAACCCCTCCCCATCCCCCCATGTGCCATGCATAACCGACCCGACCCGATCAGCAGACCAAAATACTCAAATACCATGCCAGTCCTGCAGAGCAGGCGCATACAACACAGGTATTACTAGGCAAGGCAACGCCAGGCAGGCTGGCAGCCACCGTAGGCAACAACACACAATAATAATGTTCATTAGAGAAAGTATAGTTGAATACGGGGTGCCAGCGGCCATCTTTCGCGACCCAATGTTTGCTTTCCAGTACGTCGAGAAACCTTCATCCCCAAAGAGATGGTGGGAAATGTCGAAAACCGCTCAATTGTTGCAGAATACATTGACACGTCGACTTTTTGGAGGAAACCGGGGTGGGTGTCGTCGTCGTCGTTGTTGTGTTAGTGGTTTCCACACCACCACCAGCACGAAAAACCATCAACACCATGATCATCAGGGCAGACAGACAGCTTGTCTGCCTCTTTGACGATCTTTACCTCAACGTCCCAATGGATAAACATGTTGTTCATGCTGATACTGATAAGCGTCGTCACATCCGTCCCAATTGTTTTTTGCAGAGCGGGTTCATTCTAGGTGATACACACCGAACGATGGGGGTGTAAACAGTTTTTGATGCAGTCGCTTGACCGAAAGGGAGGGGCGGCGGCGGCGGGCGAAACGCACCGAGATCATCTGAGATCTTTCCGCCTTGCGGCAGACTTACCCTGCCCTACGGACACATTCTATCTCCGTGGTGTACTCCGTATTGCTTGCCCTGACTGACGTGATGTGTTATGTTGCTGCAGAGTGGCAGATGGGGACAAGGGGGGGAATGGATGGTAACCGGGGTTTGGAGGGAAAGATGTGCGGCTAGGGCGCGCGTGTTTTTTTTTGTTGGCAAAAAAGCACATCAATGTTCAACGGTTGGTCACATCTCTCTCTCTATCGTCAAGGGAATATTGCTACAGTACACCACCGGGGGTCCTTGCCTGCCCGGAATGAGACGGACGGGCTGAAAGCTGAGCTGATAATGTTGTAAGGCCCTGCTTATCAGTTTGGAAAATGGACGCAGTATTATGATTTTCGGTGGTGGTTTTGGCCCCCAGGTTTTACTGCGTATCTAGCCCCCATTCCCCATCCCACCCGAACCACCCCGTCCATGTTGCCAAACTGCTCATCTCGCCTAAGTCGAGATGCAGGACAAATACATGCCTTAGGGCGGGCGGGCGATACAGGCGGCGGCGGCGAAGGGGAGGGGCACGAGAAAAGGGTTTGGCGGTAGCCTCGGGACGTGCCATTTTGCAAGGGAGAAGGGGTGAGGTTACCCGCGATGCGCGGCTGTTTGGATTTATTGAAACCTTTCAAAAGAGGATTGCATATGAGGCCATTTTGGAGCTGGACATTGAGGTTCTGGTTGCGAGGTTGTGCGGTTCGACGGTGGTAATTGACTTTCATGCGTGCTCATATTATGATTGGACGTGCGTTTTTCCGTTGGGCTTTTCCCTCGGGTTTGCTTGCGCCCATTACCTCAGCCAAAGTCTGAGGTGCCAAGCTCGCACCCGTCATATTGGACCCGAACAGACCAGAGAGGCCTCAATGGGGTGAGGCGGGGCCGAGATTGTTATTCAAGGTCCGAACTCCGTACCTGTACCGTAGTAGATGGACGAGCCTATCTGCGTGGAATTATCGTCGGTAAATATTATCTGCCGTACGGCTTTTGATGGGGAGTGGAACCTGATGCCGCGGCCCGCGAGAGAGTTTAGAACATTCACCCCTTTTGCCCTCAAGGAACTCCTTCGACGGTACGGTTTGGCATAATGTACAGCTGGAATTGGAAATGAGAAAATAGGGCTCAGCCTCAGCCCGTCCGTGGACAGACGGGCAAGGGCAAGGAACAAAAAAGGGGGTGAATGTACGGGATGTGGAATGTTGGACCCCTAATTCCCAAGTCAAAGGCAAAAAGAGCCAAGAGGGTGGATACTCTACTATGGTAACAATTCGTACTCTGTGAGAAAAGGAAAAAAGAATAGAAACACAGACGTCGTTGACGGTTTGACGGGCTCGACGGACCAAGGCGCCGTCGTTCTGGGGCCTCCCTTATCTAATTACGTCGCACCGGTGACGGGAGGCTAAAGGGAAGGCTAGCACGATGGTGTAATTAGATATTCTGCCCTTCTCCCAGCTCTGGGCGTTCGTAATACGGAGAGAGAGGGAGAGAGAGTGATGGAGCAAAAATTCAACGAAATTTGGGTCCGAAGACAAGCTTGGCTAGTATCCGTGTGTTTGACACCAGTGGATGAGTATACGATGGAAGCATTCATGCTAGCGGAGATGGCACCGGGGAGTCGGGATGGCGGGGGGTGAAAAGACTGTTACGATCCAAAAGTCCCAACGAAGCGGCGGCGGCGCGAGAGACGGCGCCAGGAAAACGGAGCCGCCGTGGGCGGTGTTCCGTGGGCATGGAACGTCCGATGTGGGCTTCTCTACGGGTTGAACCTCGAATTGATGGGCAGAGGGAGGCGTGTCGCGATGAATGATGGGGATTAGTTCTCCCCTATTATTATCCCCCTTTATTGCCGTATACTACGATTTCGTATATTCCTCCGCGATCTAAAGAAGAATCTAAATTAATCCAGGTACGACGACGATTCGTCACCGATGGGCGGGTACGGTGGTTTTAAGCTATAGAATCATGGGATGGGTAAGGGGTAAGGAATGCCCTCGTAACTGAGGGTAGAGATGCTCTCCTTTGTGGTCTATATCGAGCCCTGATGAAGGTCCGAGGATTACGTTGACAGGGAATTGGGGTGCGGCATGTCACGTCAGATAGAAAAGGACGGGACGGAGGACCCCTCCCCCCTCTAAGCCTTTCATCAAAGTGACACCTGCGCATCTTTACCCCATGAAATGCGGTATCACAATCTCTTAGCTGTCGTGGGTTGATTATGGAATTTTCTGTGACAAGATCGATGAACCCTGAAGCCCGCTGCTGATCACTTGCTTTCCATTTCCAAATTCCCCCCACTTGACGAACTGGAGAGAGAGAGAGAGAGAGAGACCCAGAGAGGAATGTTTGAATTTGTGTGAAACAGGAGAGGGAGGCTTTGGTCTATGGTTCTTCAAGCGCCGTTCACTATTCACACCTGTCAAGCTTGTCAATCTGTTTCCAGTTTCGAAAAATGGATGGTTCACGTCGGGAACGTTTCTGGGGGCGTCTGGAATGCAGACGGTTGTTTAGATTCGCCCCTTGGGACTAGCACGCAAGCAAACGCAAAGCAGTCACGCCGTGGTCGTGGTGCCTGCAGTAGGTTACGGTCACAACTTACGGTTTACGGGTTCGGTGTCGCGTACCTGCCTTAGTGGTGGCGAAATTGCCTGCAGTCGTCGTCGGCTTTGGTCATCTCGGAAGATGGTCACGAGATTGGATCAAGAAGGTCGAACGTTTTGAATGTCACGATGTATCATGTAGCTAATCCCCCTCCTTTCCTTTGTCTTACTTTAGTCTCTTTGGTGCCTTTGAAGGGCACGTGGAGGGTAAACTTGGGAATGGCTCAGGGGACTTGCATTGGTGATCCGGACCCGCCGGGAATGCAGACGCAGAAGCTTAGAGAAGGTGCTTATCGCCAAGACGTCACCGCATCATGTTCTTGCCTCTGTACCACTGGTGGACGTTGTGACGGCGGGGAAAAAAAAAAAAAAAAAAAAAAAACTTGGTGATTTGCGCGGCGGCGTGTTTTGGAGTTGCTCGAACGGTGAACCGGATCGTCAGGGGGGGGAAGGGGTGGGTTCGTCGATTCTGTCCCAATCGAGAAATCGAGCCCCGTTTGGGGGAGGTGTGGGGCGAAGCGTGGCAAAACGTGGGACATCTGGTCCCACTTATGTTCAGCTGCCTCAGTCCCTTTCGTTTGTGATTATATAAGACGCTTGCACTACGTATCCCTCGGGCAGTACGTATGCTGGGACCACGTGATCCCGCGCCGAGGTCGTAACGACCGTTCAGGCCAAGCTCAGACGGATCCTCGCGTCGCTGAAGCGATGAAAGGAATGCAGGGGTCCCTAATTTTCCCCAGAACGACAAGACACATCAGTAACATCGCACTGCGCATCATCAGAAACGGTTGTCTCTTACAGGTCATTGCTGCCTTGCGGGATCTTCAGGGTATCCTTCATACAACAGTGCGTTGAAACGAGGTTGACTCATCGGCCGCCCAACTTTTCGTCATCCTTTGGGACCACGTCCCTTGCGCTAGAGAACTCGGACAATCAGGGTCTCTGGAGTATACGGCGGAGACAGAGCGAGTGAAGGCAGACAACGTGAATCGGATACTTGGATACACACGCCGGCTACCCCAGTACGTGAGGTGTACTCGTCACCGGGCCTTCACACCACCACGTACGACACAGCACCAACACCACGACCATGGACGACGTCCTCGAGCTCCACGTCTGGGGCGCTGCATTTGGCCTCCCCTCCATCGACGCCGAGTGTCTGGCCGCCATCGCCTACCTGCACACCGCCCTCCCAAGCTCACAATGGCGTCTGGTCCCGAGCAATGACCCTGCCGTCCACTCATCAAGTAAGTATATTGGTTCACTTATTCACACTTACACCGGCCGGTCATGTTTACACTGCCCACCCCCTTTCCACCGTTCGAGGTTTCCGCCGTTGGAACAAATTTCCCACGCGGCCTCGTCCCATCATGACGACTCATAACAAAGAAAGCCTCACAAAGACTCACCCAAACACACAAAGAAACTCACCCAAAATACACAATGGACCCTCCCTCCCCCCTTACCCTCAGCCTCGCTAACGTCTGCTAGACCGTCTACCGGCCCTTAAGGCCAACGGCGTCTGGGTAACGGGCTACGCCTCCATCGCGGCCCACCTCGCCTCCCTCGCACCACACTCCCCCTCCTGGGACCTGGACCTCGACTCGCGCCTCACCCCGTCCCAGCGCGCAGACGCCTACGCCTACGGCGCCTACGTCGAGTCCGCCCTCGCGCCCTTGCTCGACGCCGCCCTCTACGGCACCCACGAGAACTGGGTCGCCGTCACCCGCCCCGCCCTGAGCCACCTTCTCGGGTTCCCCCTGAGCTGGACCGTCCCCGTCATGATCCGGAATCAAGCCACGGCCCGGTGCGCCCACCTCGGCCTCGACTCGCTCGGCGCCGAGGAAGACGACGAAGATGGAGACGACGCCGCCGTGCCCAGAAACCGCGCCCTCGACCGCGCGATGAAGCACCTCCCCGTCTCCAACAAGAAGACGGTGCTCGAGGAGATGAAGGCCGGCACGGCGCGGGGCATCAGGCTCCACGCCATCACCGTCGACGCCCTCTCCCCCCTCGAAGCCCTCCGCGCACGGGGCGAGGATTCACTGGGCGAGAAGAAGCGCTTCTTTGGCGGCGAGGTCCCCACGTCCCTCGACTGTCTCCTCGTCGGCTACCTCGCCCTCATCCAGCAGGTGGTCGACCTCCCGCAGTCCTGGCTCCCGACCATCCTCACCAAGAAATTCCCCCACCTCGCCGCCATGGCCACGGACCTTCGCGACGAGTGCCTCACGAACCCGGGCAACCCCCTCCCCTGGACAGCCGCACCTTCATCATCGCTCCGTACCGCGGCACGCTTCCTCGACAACATCGTGCAGGCGACGCCAAACCTCGGCGAGGCATACCTCCACGAGTGGCGGCGGCGGGCCGAGACCAAGGCCAAGGGAGCCTCGGCGGACCGGAGGACGCTCGCGCTCGCGGGCGGGGTGTTGGTCGCCGGATCAGCGATCGCGTACGGCGTGTGGACGTATAAGAGTTTGCCGCCGTGGGGCTTGCGGACGCAGACGTGGGTGGCGGAGAAGAAGGGGCTGGGTAGGTTTGGCGATTTGGGCGAGATGCTCAACTTTTCGCTGGGACTCGCGGATCCGGTGCCGCAGGCGAGTCCGGCTGCCGGATGGGGTTCAGAGCATAGATATGTCGAGTCTGAATTGGCTGTCGACTAAAGCTGGGGATACACTTTGAGTTCCGATCCGGTAAGTATTCAGAAAGGGTTGGTAAAAGGGGGTAAAGATGACTGCAACATGACTTATCAGTCACGAAACGAAAAGGGGGCATTAGATCATTCGCAACTCTGGAGTCAGGGGTAGCATGTACGAAAAGACCACATGGTTCGTGGCGTCCCAAAAATGTACAATACTGTCTCAATTATTGTGGTTTACATATGATCGTTCATCATACACCATACTGTCTTTTAATACTGCCTGTGCCACTTATGCCGGTCTCGAATGCCTTTTATGCTGTCTGACACTTTTCTAGTTCTACACATGCCGAACGTGGTCGTCATCAACTAACCTCATCTTTCTGAGGCTTTCTCAGATCTGTCGAATCTCCTTTCCAACCATCTCGGGCCTCTCAACCTCCCACTCGTCACGCAGCACCGCAAACGTCAGATCGCTGACGAGCAAGCTCTGTCCCAAACTCCACACCAGCGTAATAGCGTAGAAGAAATTCGCGTTTCCGCTACCGGCATAGATCCACAGGTGGTAAAAAGCCGGGCCGAGAAACGAAGCGTACATGATTGTCGCGGCGCCGACAAAGGTATACCGCATGAGCGGGAACACGTGCCGGAAGAGGGATAGCATCGCCAGGAACAAGCTCGTGTCCGCGATGGACGGGTACGGCTTGAAGATGGCAAAAATGCCGAGGAGCAGCGTCAGCACGACGAGCGGCTGTGTGCGGATGCGGATCGTCAGGGGTCCGACGTAGCTAGAGAGGTGGAGCCAGAAGACGGCGAGGAAGAAGGGGCGGAAGGAGTCGAACATTTCGACGAAGAAGTACCACCACAGGCCGACGTTGGGCGTCAGGTCGTTGAGGGTGAGCTGGGCGCCGTAGGTGCTGGAGAGGAACTCCCAGGAGCCGCCAGTGAGGAGGAAGGACATTGCGAAGAGGGCGGCGACGACGGCGGCGACGACGGAGACGTTTGCGAGGGCGAAGCGCGGGGTCGAGGCGGTGCGTCGGGTCGGGTCCTGGCGGTCGTAGGCGAGGAGGACGAGGGGCGGGAGGAGGAGGGCGGGGTACATTGAGAAGTAGGTCGCGAAGGAGAGGGAGACCATTGCGCTGAGAGGGGCGCCGGCAATGGCCTTTGCGACGGCGTGGAGGATGGCGCATGTTGAGAAGACAGAGGTGGAGCGGCCGATACAGGTTGCTATTGTGAAGGGGTTGAACAGGTAGCTGTGGTGAGGTTGTCAGATCAAATGTTCGTTGATGATGCGAGCAAGGGGGCAAGACTGGGGAGCTTACAGTGATGCGACGACAAGGCCACTCCACCTCTTGCTGCGGCGGGGAGAGGAGAAGAGGCGAGAGGACCCTGCTTCGCCAGAGTCTGCAATCTTGGAGAGGGCAACCGCGCTCAGGATGTCGACGAGGATGTAGAGAAGGTATGTGAAGATCGGGAACGACTTCAGGTCCGGGAGGAGGGAGAAGAGGGGAAGGAAGAGGGGCGCCTGGTGGTATACGCCGCCATCGTAGGGGGAGACATTGTGGTTGTAGAGAAAGAGTCCTTCTTGTACTGCGTTATGAGGAATCGTCAGTCTGAGATTTCTTGTTCCAATTGGGATCCGGGAAGGGGAAGCTTACATCGCTTGAAGCTCGTGACGGGGGTCGAGATCTCGACGCGGCCGGTAAGCAGGTCAGGCAGGCCGGGGAACGCGACGAAGAGCAGCAGACGCAGCGCTGCTGCGGCGGCGTAGACGCCCGTCTTGCTGCCTCCCTGTGTACTTGTTCCGACGGTCATCCTTCAGTCCATGGTCCGGAGCGGGATGTGTCGAGATGCGGGCTCACGGGAGCTTCAAAGGTTCGCAGTCTTATTGGAGTTCGGGCGGGAGTCGGGATGAATAAGGTGTGGTAGGGACGGGGGTCGAGGTGGATGACACCTGGTGCTTCGACCGGGGCGCAGGTCCGCTGGGTGCGGGAAGCTTGTCCAGCGAATGGCAATCCGTCTTTCAGCGCAGTCACACTTGGTTTAGTGGGTTGAACCCCTGGAGCTGGGGCCATTGTGCTGATTAGATAACTGACGCCAATCAGCGATAAGGACCGCAAAGACTAGTCCTAACTCAGCTGGCGAGGGAGCGGTCAACCGTTGGCAGAAAATTTCAATGGAAAAAAAAGTTCAGAGAGAAACACGAGAGCGGTGCCCCGCCACAGCGAGAAGTACTGGAGAGCTTCTAAACTCGTCCAAAAACCACACCCTTCAAAACCAAGTCAATTCTTCAACAACACAACCACGCCAATTCGCAAAAAATGGCGGGCAGAGTTAAGAAGAAGGGAGAGGCCGGAGCGGCCAAGAACTATGTCACCAGAAACCAGGCTATCCGCAAGCTGCAGATCAGCCTGCCCGACTTCCGCAAGCTCTGCATCTGGAAGGGAATCTACCCTCGCGAGCCGCGCAGCAAGAAGAAGGTTTCCAAGTCCTCGACCGCCTCGACGACTTTCTACTACGCCAAGGACATCCAGTACCTCCTGCACGAGCCCCTGCTGCTCAAGTTCCGCGACCAAAAGGCCCTCGAGAAGAAGATTTCGCGCGCGCTCGGCCGCGGCGACGTTGGCGATGCGAAGCGCTTGGAGAAGAACGCCGCCAGGCCCGAGGAGACTGGCAAGCCGAGATACACCCTCGACCACGTCATCAGAGAGCGATACCCGACTTTTGTCGACGCCGTGAGGGACCTCGACGACTGCCTGTCCATGCTCTTCCTTTTCGCCAACCTGCCTTCGACCTCGTCCGTTCCCGCAAAGATGATTGCGCGCTGTGAGCGGTTGACCCTCGAGTTCCAGCACTACCTCATTGTGTCGCAGAGCGTCACCAAGTCCTTCCTTTCGATCAAGGGTATCTACTACCAGGCGAACATCAACGGCGAGGATGTCTTGTGGCTGGTGCCTTACAAGTTCAACCAGAGGGTTGTTGGCGATGTCGACTTCCGCATCATGGGAACCTTTGTCGAGTTCTACATGACGCTGCTGGGCTTCATCAATTTCCGTCTGTACACCGGCCTCGGCCTCAAGTACCCGCCCAAGTTTGACCAGACCAAGGACAACCAGTCTGCCGAGCTTGCTGCTTTCACCATTGAGGGCCAGAACCTCGCCGCCCCCGAGGAGCCGAAACAAATCACCAACGGCGAGACCGAGCACAGCGTCGACCCCAAGACCCAGGCCGCGGTTGACAAGGTTATCAAGAAGCTCAAGTCTTCGGACGCCGACAAGGAGGAGAGCAAGTCGGAGGAGCAGACCGAGTCCGCAGAAGAATCCACAAACGCTATCGACAAGTTCGAGCCCGCGGCGCCCGGCGGTGACGTCCTGCCCCAGCCCGTCCACTCGAGCTCCGACAGAAACAAGCTCTTCGCCCACTGCACATTCTTTCTCTCCCGTGAGACTCCTAGACAACCCCTGGAGTTCCTCCTGCGGTCCTTCGGCTGCAAGCGTATCGGCTGGGACGCCGTCCTCGGCGAGGGTGCCTTCACCACCGATGAGCGCGACCCGTCCATCACCCACCAGATCGTTGACCGCCCCCCGATTTACGCTGCCAACAGCGAGGAGGGCGACGGCGAGGACAACCAGACGTCTCAGAAGCTCGCGCCCAACCAGCGCATCCCCGGCCGGATATACGTCCAGCCCCAGTGGGTCTGGGACAGCGTCAACGACGAGGAACTGAAGCAGCCCGACCAGTACGCTCCCGGCGCCCAGCTCCCTCCCCATCTCAGCCCCTTTGTCAGGCAAGTGCAGGGCGCGTACGACCCGACCATTCCCCTCGAGGAGCAGGAGCCCGAAGGCGAGGCCCTGGCCGAGAGCGACGAGGAGATGGCCGACGACGTGGACGCCGGCGACATGGACGTTGCCGGCTCCGACGAGGAAGAGGAGGGCGAAGACGGCGAGGGCTCCGACTTTGACGGCGTCTCCGAGGACGACGAGGACGACGTCGGCTCCGAGAACGACGACGCCGACGCCCAGCGCCAGCTCGAGCTCGAGGCCGAGCTTACGGGCGGCGCCGTCCAGGCCAAGGAGACCAAGCCCAAGAGCAAGAAGGAGGCGGCCCGCAAGGCGCACGCCAAGAAGGTGGCCGAGGAGGCGGAGGATATCGAGCGGGCCAAGGGCATGCTGAGCAAGAAGAAGAGAAAGCTGTTTGAGCAGATGCAGTACACTAATAACAAGAAGAGCGCACAGGACGAGAAGCTGCGTGCCAAGAGGAGAAGGCTGGAGAGGGAGGCCGCTAACAAGAAGGCCAAGGCGTAGAGGATGATGTGTTGGTGGTGAAGAAAAAGGGAGGAGAAAAGCTTGTTTGTGTTTATGTTTTCTTCTAGAATGTGTAGTAGGCGTTTGTTATACCATAATTGTGGTGTTGGGACGATAAATACATGCCTGGGACACATGAATCTCAATCTTTCCATAAACAAAGTGAAATGTTGGTAGCACGGTGTGATACGTGTGAGTCCTTGCAGAGTTGACCACACGTTAGGCTACCCGTTTGACCTTTCCTCGAGGCAAGTTTCGGTGAGATGTGGGCGGGTCCATTTTTCTTTTACTCTTCACCTCAACTCAACCAACCCACTCTGAAAACCGCTGTTATTCATCTATACATTTCATTCCACTTCATTCAATTCATGCGTATTCTTTTCACATATGAAACAGTGATAATTCCACTTCATCAAGCATTGTATCCATGTCATGACGGCAAACGAGGAATCGTGGGACCTCGACACCGATGAGATTCGCTCCGTCGACTCTGAAGAGCTTTATGAGACTAGGCCCAACCGCTGGAAAGGCAACAAGGCGACATGGAACACCTACACGCAAGAGGAGCGACTCCTCCACCGCTCCATGGAGCAATTACGAAATCGCGACTTATCAGTGCACCTGTACAACGCATTCGCGCTCCGAAATCGTGCAGTACGCCCTAGCGCCGCGGGAGAGCCTAATGATGCGGTACGTTTTGATAGCAGGGCCCGTCTCATCACCACGGCACGTTCCGAGTCACTGACCATTCTTTTCTCAGGACGTTGATAGACCGCTGGAAGAAATCGTCGACAGCGGCGAATGGCGCCCGCCGAATTTATGGACGGCATGGCCAATGAACTCGCGCATCGTGCCGGGCGACGACTTTCTAAAGGAAACTCACGATGAGGACGACGACTTCACCACGCGCTCCAGGAAGGAGCAGCTTCCCAGTATACCGTTAGAAGAAGAGATTACAGCTACAATTCTACGCCAAGCGAAGGAGCGCTTCCTTCGCCGGCAGCGCAAGGCTCGGGAGCGAGAGGAAGCTTCAAGGACACGGGACGAATCTGCCAACGAGAGGACGGCGGCGTCTTCCATGTCTGCGCACTCATCCGCGGTCTCTGACGGAGAAGACGACGATGAGGATAAAGACGCAAACGCACCTCCTCCATCTGGTCAAGGCGTGCAAACGAGGTTGTCTGATGTAGAGGTCGAAAAGCCGAAGCGCAGCAAGACGTACGAACCAGTCGTCTCCGCCAACGATGACCTCTCCGCAGACCTCCTCCGCCCTTCGGTCCGCCACATCCTGTCCACCCTCGACAACACCCTCACGGCTCTCCACAACTCCCGCCTCGCGGGACTGAGCTACATGACCGACTCGTCCGCCTCCGCGACCGATGTGGAGGACAATAACAACGCCTCGGACGCAGCTAGCGTTTCGTCCGCGGCATCACGGGCAAGTTCGTCAGCGTCGAAGCGTAAGAAAAAGGGTCGCCCTCGGAGCAAGGCGCCCAGAACCCCAGAGCCCGAGTGGACGAAAGCACTCGAGAGGAGAGGCAGGCCGAAGAAAGTGACGGTCCCGCTGCCTGGGGAGACGGAGAAGGAGATGAAGATTCGGATCGCGAGAGCGTCGAAGAAGAGGATCCCGTTCTCGTCGGACGAGGAGGATGCAGCAGCTGCTGAGACGGAAGGGGAGGATGCCGTCAACAAGGCCGAAGACTCGGGGAACGAGACGTCGAGGTCGAGGTCGTCTAGGAAGAAGCGTGATTTGCCGGCCGAGGCGCGGGCCGAGGCCAAGATGAAGGCCAGGGAGACGATGCTCGGAAATTGGGGGCTGCGAGACTGGAGCGACGTCATCGGCGCTGCCTCGCTCTCCGGCTTCAAGCCCGAAGTGGTCGCTAGGGCGGCGCAGCGGTGCGCTGATTTGTTCGGGCAGGGGATGGAGATGCGGACTCTACTCGAGGGGCCCGCGGCTAAAGGGCCAAAGCCGCAGACGACGCGGTATATCCCCGGCGGCGGAAGCAGTAACCGTGGCGGCGGCGCTGGTGGTACCGCCGCCCCGTACGCGGGGCCGTCCAGCTCAGAAGATTCAGAAGAGGAGAAGCCCGTCGTGAAAGCACGGCGTTTCGGGGCGTCTTCTCGACAAAATCGTATGGCGCGCGACAGCATCCCACCCAGCGACTCTGACGCCACGGGGCGAGGACGGAGCACAACGGCGGCAGCGGCAGTCAGACGATCGCGGAGCGTATCCCGCGCGTCCTCTGTGGGGTTCTTCTACTGCCCCGTCTCGGGCTGCGAGCGCGCGCTGGAAGGGTTCGGGCGGAGGGCGAATCTGCAGCGGCATGTGGCGACGATGCATCCGGGTCGAGCGGGGGATGTCCCCGGCGGCGGTGGCGGCGGCGACCGCTTCGACGTGGAAAGTGAGGATGAGATGGTGGGTGCGGTGCATGTTGACGGCTTCCTGAGGCCTATTCGGGCGAGAAAGGGGTGGAGGGCTGAGGATACGGGGAAGAGGAAGCGGAAGAGGCATTACCGAGGGCGGAAGAGGGATGGGAGTGGTAGTTGGAGTGGTGTTGAGGAGGCCGTGATAGATTCCACATGAGATGGGAAGGAGTGTTCATGGTCCAAAACTCGGCCCTTGAGAAGAGTCAGCGGCGATCAGATGCCATCGTGGTCGTGTGCCTCAGTACCGACATCTCTGAATTGCACACAATCTACAGACATCATACTTCTTATACATAATACCAAGACAGGCATGACCTAGCAAGCAGAATCTCACCAATGACCTGGAAGTCTTCGAAACATGCGCTTCACTCCATAATAGTGCACACTGAGTATGTCAAGACACCCGTTTCAACAGATGATGACTTGTTCGGGTTTACAGTAGCAGCACGCACTTTTGACCTAGGTTTACGTGTAATCCCGCGGTTCGACAAGTGTCAGTCTATGACTCCCAAATATAGGCAAGTATGCTCCAATTCTCTACCAGCATGAGAAAGTATCTACAACAGCTTCTTTCTTGTGAGGAGGGCAGACGAGTCCATAGGAGCATCACTCTCTAGCAACGCATGTACAACTTCCCAAGAAGAATCGATTAAATCGTCCATCGCTCCGTCATCACAAGTAGCTCGCTGCAACGGCTTTAGAGACCAAAACGTGTATGAAGTCTCTTCTCTGATATCTGTCGAATTTAGCGTTGCAGATTAGCGTCGTTTGAAGCAGGACTTTCGTGATGGACGCCGTCAGTCAATCTCTACAATGATCAGATTCAGCACGCAAGTCAGATTCTAGCTTGTTGCACATTGCGATATCAGATAAACTTTATGCCATCATCGGGTATGTAGATCCTTTGCATAGCACCGTAGCCGTAAGAGCACCGTTACACCATTCAGCTTACAACAGAGACAACGATTACCCAACTCTCTCGTTTAAACTCGGGGGCTTAAGCTAGAAGCGTTAACAAGTCATGAATCAGACCAATGGCGACTGTAGAATTTTCAAGGCCCTGACTCTTGAGAGACCTAGTTGCAAGTGAAAGAGTATGTAATGGTATGGAGTTAATCTAGAAACTCATTCAACGTCTACCTTGGCAGTTGCACCGGAGCGAGCCGTGACATTCTTTCATTGATGCAACGGTTTGGCAGTCGAGGAGTTTCAATTAGCTTGCGCATGTCAGTCGTGGGCTGATAATTATACCAAGGACAGAAGTTATATCTCGATAGCTGAGAAGTGAAGAACGGTGAGGCTAAAAACGAAACAATCGACGACGATGACAAGACCCAGATGAGAACGACACATTAGGTGCCAAAATTTTGGGCTTGACCTATATGGAAACGCTTTCCAACATATCTCCCATCACAAATCACGGAAGGGTGGCCGAGTTGGTTATGGCGCCAGGTTAAGGTCAGCTTAACATCTGTTTCCTGGTGGGGCAACCCGCGCGAGTTCGAGTCTCGTCCCTTTCATTTTTCGTGTTTTTGACGATTTCCTGGAGATAAATGCAAGCAAAAAGCATTGAGCAACCATTATTAAAACTTTTCTTCGCGATGTTGTAGTTACTTTTCTTTCTTTTCGTGCAAGGGTTGCGAATACGCCTTGGAGCACCCGCGAGACACGCCATCATCTGGCCAAACCACCAGCTCACAAGTCTCTAGCACGAATAAACCGCATCTTAATCTTTTAAAAAGTGCTTGTCAATTGTGCGCCGACCCTAGGTAATTGGGTTCGTACCGGACGCATCAGGGAGATGTATGTGTACAAGAGTTTAATGATGCCATCTAGGTTCTGCTTCCTCTCTGTCCCTATTCATCTTACACCAGAGCTCGGACTTCAAAAACCATGGCTTCCTCGACCTCACCGCCGCTTTTTACCACTCGCTCACCTCGCCGGCCTTGGGCGGCTGTACTCTGACGATCTTATCGCAGTTGAGCAGGCAGAGGGGGTCGAGAGCCTTCTTGATCTGTCAAGGAGCGTCGGGTTAGCACGTGATTCCCAGTCGATAACAAGCATCAAGGAAGGGAGAAAGTCACCTGTCTCATGGTATCGACGGTAGACTCGCCCAGCTCGTGGGGGAGGTAATCTCTCTTGACGAGTCCGACGCCATGCTCACCCTATCAGTCATGTCAGTAAATCTCGGACACTTCAAAGCCAGCCAAAGATCTGACGACGACATACCGTGACGGTGCCTTCCATCTCGACGGCTCTCTTGACCATGTTGTGAACCAGGTGCTCGGCCCTCTTGCGCTCCTGGTCGTTGTAAAGCAGAATGGCTGACACCAAACGTTAGCACTCCCCCTCTCCTTCACAACAACATGCGCGTCTCCCACGCATGACCAAAAGAAGGACTCACTGTGGAAGTTTCCATCCCCAACATGCCCAACAATGGTGCCGAAAAGCCCACTCTTGGCCATGGCCTCCTTGGTCTCCTCAATAATGTCAGGCAACCGGCTCGTCGGCACCGCAACGTCGCCAGTCCAGACGTGATCCCCCTCCCGCCGGACCGCCATCGTGCTCCACAGCGCCTCCTTCCTCGCGCTCCACAGCTCCTGCTGCTCCTCCTCGTTCTTGGCAAAGTCAAACGTCTTGCTGCCCGTCTTGCTCGCGAGCTGCTTCACCAGCGCCACCTGCTCCTTGACGCCCGTCTCCGTGCCGGCGAACTTGAAGAACAGCGTCGGCGCCTCGGCCCACGCCTTGCTCGTCATGCCGGCCTTGTTGATGCACTGCATCTGCAGGTCGTCCAGGATCTCGACCGCCGCGACGGGGATGCCGGCGGCGACGACCTTGGCGACGCAGTTGGCCGCGTCGCGGATCGTGGGGAAGGCCGAGACGGCGACCGAGGTGGACGCGGGCTTCGTCGTTACCTTGAGCGTGGCCTCCGTCACGAGGCCCAGGGTGCCCTCGGACCCGATGAAGAGCTTGGTAAGGTCGTAGCCGGCAGAGCTCTTGCGCGGGCGCTGCCGCGTCTTGATGACGGTGCCGTCGGCCAGCACAACCGTCAGGCTCAGTACCCACTCGCGCATGGTGCCGTAGCGGTAGGCGTTGGTGCCGCTGCAGCCTGTGCCAATCATGCCGCCAATCATGGCGCCCGGGCCCGGGTCCGGCGGGAAGAACAGGCCCGTCTGCGCAAGCTGGTCGTTGAGTGACTCCCACCCGACAGCGGGCTGCACCACGACGTCGAGGTCCTCCTGGTGCAGCTTCAGGACCTTGTTCATACGCCCGAAATCGATCGAGATGCCGCCGCGCGTGGGGGTGAAGTGGCCCTCGAGGCTGGTCCCGCCGCTGTAGCCGACGACGGGGATCCGCCGCTGGTGGCAGATCTTCATGATCTCCGAAACCTCCTCGGTGGTGCTGGGGAAGACGACGCAGAACGGGCGCTCGTCGGGCTTGGCCGAGTGCGAGGACCACTCCGAGTTGGCGTGGTGTTCGAGGTCGACCGTTGTGGTGCTGACGTGCTCCTTGCCGACGATGCTGACAAAGTCGGCCCAGGCGGCCTCGAGGTTCTCCTTGTTGAGCTTATGGACCGGCGCGATCGTCTTGGCTAGCGGCAGGGTCGACTCTTCGCTGGGGCTCGGGGGCACGAGGGTGCCTAGGTAGTACGACACTCCCATCGTGGTGAGTAGCACTGCCAGCACACGATGGCGTATTAGCGACTGTAACAAGTCTTCTTCCAACGTCTCGCTAGTCCGGAACATCAGGACTTACCGAATGTGTACGCCAGGTTCCTACTATTGCCTGTCTTCTCACGCTCAGCAGCGAACCTCTCCCGCTCCGCCTTCTCGCGCGCCAGACGCTGGGTGATGCTGCCGACAACCTGACCCTGGAATGTCCGGCCCTTCTGCTTCTCTTCGGTGTTGTTTGGTGTGCCGCGCTCACTCGACATATGCCGCGCGGAAGCACCACTGGCCAGAGCGACGCATTGCCGGCGCGGGGCCGGGCTTGCGGCCCTGAGACCTTGCAGAGCTGCCTGCGGAGCTCGAGCTCTGATATGCGCCATTGCGCCTACGTTCGACTAGGTGGTGGTAATGATGGACGAGGAGTGTCGGGGATGCGGTACAGATTGCTGCACAAGCTTCTTCAATTGATCAGAAGTTGAAGAGGAGGTAGGCTTCGAGCCATCCGGGTTCGGAGCTCTGGGAGAAGTCGAGAGGAGGGGGTGGTGGCTTCGTTGGAGGAGGTGTACTGCGTACGCGGGCGAGCGACTGCGAATAGAAGTGCAGGTAAAGATTATTTGTAGCTGGGTGGAGCTGCATCCGTCTTAGCACTTCTGGAGCTCGGATGGCGAAATGGAATCCATGCAAGCCGCCTGCAGCAATGGAACTGGAGCACCTCAGCAGCACTGGAGCAGAAAGCGCACCCTGCGAGCCTATCGGGGATAAGGATTGGCCGGCCCGGAAGCGGGGAAGGTTTGTGCGGTGGGACTGCCGTAAGTAAGGTACCGTAGTATGCCCGCGCCGGTGTGGAACTCCACTTCTTTACCGTGTTGGTCCCCCCCCCCCCCCTTCCGTCCGCTTATCCAAGGCCGAGGATAACTCTGGCTAATGGGGTGGATGGCGTGCTGGCGAAGTCGGAGACACCCATGCATCATTATATTGGGTGCACGACAGATAGAGAACATGCCATGGCTGACTGTTTACGGCTTGGGACTCCGTGTTGATTGACCACCAACTTCGGCAGGCATACTAAGTCAGCACGGATAGGCCCCGAGACTCCCGATACAATTGCCGTCGACTCTCTCGGCGTCGATTCTCCATTGCAGTGACCGGCATCGGCTTGCAGACCTTCTGCAGGGAATGATGTATCTCGCCAACCTATGTAAATACCCAGAAATAATGTACAATATGTCCAGTTATACGAATCCATGCGCCTTGCTATACCCAGAAACGCGCCCTAGGAGAAAACCTTCCCTGCTTACCTTACTCTAGACACCTTACATAGTCTCCCAAAATACCTTACACTAAGTCTTCCACCCCGGAATAAGCTGCACATTAAACGTCGGCGTCCCAAGCCCCCCAGCAGCCCCCCTCAAATGCGCCAAATACGCAGCAAGCTCCCCGTCCTGCTCAATCGACAACGGCATCTCCCCGCCCTTGCCATCCTTCAACACCCCCTCCAGCCGGAGACAAATCGCTCCCGGGAACTTACTCGCCGCCGCGTGCCGCAGCTCCTGCACGGAATGCGAGCTTAGCGTCGCGATCCAGATGGTCGTGGTCGCGACAAAGGTGGAGGAAGGGTGGAGGCGCAGGTATACGGCTATGCTCGTGGTGGATGGCGGCTGCGGCTGCGGGTGCTGGTGCTGGGGTAGAGGTGACGGCGGCGCGTGGAAGACGGGTTGTTGCTGTTGCTGCTGCTGCTGTGCTGCGGCAGCGGCAGCTACGGCATACTGCTGCGCGTATTGCTGGTCTACAAACGCCGCCTGCGCGTCGGCCGCTAGTAGGAGAGACGAGCCCATGTGGTGAGACTCCAGCCCCATGTCCGCCTGCCCGAGGAGCGCCGACGAGAGGATCCGCGCCGCGGAGTGGCCCATCGGGTCGGCGGCCGCGGCGGCCTGGACTTGCATCGATACGGTGGGCATGAGCATCTGCGGCTGCTGACTTGCCCCCGAGCCGGGAACGAGTCCCATAGACGGCGGGACGGATACCTGGCTGGCATCGACGTACTGGCCGCTGCCCAAGTCATCCTGGTCTCCCAAGTTATCAACCAGTTCTAGCTGCGCAGGCTGGGCCTGGACTTGAACCGCCGTGACATCCTCTTGCCGGTTTGCGTCGTCGCGATGCACCTGCGCCTGTTGACCAGTGCCAACTCGTTTCCGCGGCTGCTCGCGCCTCGAGACATCGTCTCTCAACCTCTTCATCACATCCTTCGCAAGAACATCCAAAGCCCGCACCTTGTCGGCGTGAGCGTGAGCATGCACGGAAGAAGAACCAGCTTCACTACCATCATCATCTTCTTCTCCTCCTCCTCCCGGTGCAGCGAGAATCCGCCGCATCAGCTCCGACCCAGCCTCCCACTGCGCCTTGAGCTTCCCCCACTGCGCCGGCCCAGCCTCAGACTTGCAACCGAGTCCCTCCCGCTTCAGGATCCTCTCAAACGCCGCGCGTAGATCCCTCGCCTCTTCCGGGTTAACGCCCAGGATATTCTTCGCCTCGGCGAGGGTGAGCCGCTTCTCCAACGTCCGCGCCCGCTTCGTGATGTCTGTACATATGACGTCGAGCGCCAGTTTCTTGGACTCGTGGTTTTGATTGCTGTTGATGTTGCTATTGCTGTTACTGTTGCCGTTCAAATTCCCAGACTCGTCGTCGTCCCACATCACTGCCCTCAGCCGCGGTGTCTCCCTTACAAGCCGGGCTTTAACGGCCTCCCACCTCTCCGGCCCGGCAACCGTCTTCTTGACGATGCCGGCCTCCTCGCAGAGCCGTGCAAACGTGGCCCGCACCTGACGGTACAAGTCCGTCGCCAGCCCGAGAACAGCTTTTGCGTCGTCGAGCGTGGTCTCCGAAGGGAAGCGCGGGGCGATGGGGTGTTGTGAATCATGAGACGACGCAGCCTCCCAGGCTCGCAGCCGCCGCCTCTTCCTCCTGTTGTTGCTGCTGCTGCTATCAATGTTGCTCTCCTTGTCCCCCACCGCGCCAACGTCGTCGTCCTCCTCCTCACCCTCGCCGGTCAGCGGCGACCCGAGCATCTCACGATCCGTAAGAGTACCAGGCGTCACGACGCCCGCACCATCGTGGTTCCCGAAGCCGTCATCGATAGTGACCATAGGTGACTCCCGGCGACCAGAACCCACCACCTCCCCCCCCTCCTTCCCTCCCTCCTTGGACCGCTCCCCATTCGCAGCCTTTAAAAGCCACCGGTTCTTCGTCCTCACGCGGATCAGCTCGCGCTTCTTGATATCGAACCCATCCTCCCTCAGCACAGCCAGCATCTCCCCCTGCGACAGGTTACGCTCCCACAGCTCCTTGATGCGCGCGACCAGCCGGCCGTTCTTGTACGCCGGGTTCTGCTTGGACGGGAAATCCCACTTGCGGAACTGGGTCTGGAAGGCTCGTTTGCTGTAACATGTATGAGCAACTTATTAGTCCCACAACTTCACCTTACCCCGGACCCGTCCTCGGCCCCGATCCCGGATCCGTTGTGGAACGGGGTGAAGTTTGCCGGGGTGGACCGGGCAGTCCAGCTGGCGAGAGGAACCACGAAGACATTGGGGGGAGCAGAGGTGGATAAAGAGAGACTCAAGACTGACCAGGGCGCAAAGTTATGGTGCAGTTTGAGGTACACCATGATATCCTCGAGGGACCTCTTCTCGTTGATGTATAACTGGAAACATAGCTTCTCGTGGGAATCCCAATCGTAGACCATGCCTCTTGAGATTCTCTGCAAACAATGCCTTGAAATGCGTCTTTGGTTGAACGAGCGAGTGTCGACAATGCGCAAGCGGTTGGTTGAGTCAGCCGTACTGTGCCAAGATCATGATGCACGGTAAGGCACCTTAGCGAGGACTGTCTCGTTATCTTATCGCAGGCCTTATCGCATTCTTATCATTGTCATCACCGAAGTATCTGTTACTCGGTGAGCTTCGGTGAAAAGATGTACCTCCACTAAGTGTCATGACTGTATCTCTCGGCAAGTTGGCCATCGATCTGATTAATCGGCTTTATAATGAATAACTAGCTTTATATAATTAGGATGTCAGAGTGTCCAAGTTTTGACAGCAATTAACAACCAAGCCAGTCCCTGATACACGCCGGGCCGCTCCGCATGGACGTTGATCACTCTACCATTCCGGACCTCGGTACCGGTTCTAAGCGGTCTTCCCCTCCATCTCCAACCTTCGACCTCGAACCCAAATACGGCGGCAAAACACATCCACGTAAAGTTCCATTCCATCTATATCGTCTCTCCCCTCTCGATTTCCTGTCAACCTGTCATCCTGAATGACTTCACATCCATCAAAAATCACATATCCCATCAACACCGAATCCCATTAACACCAAACCTCATCCATCATCAACAAAAACTCCAAATCTCTAAGAAGCCATTAATCACAATGTCCTCCCTCCCATCATCCTACAACACCCTCAACCTCCCCCAAATAACCCTCTCCCACCACCCCTCCACCTCCCCGACCCCAACCCCGGTAATCATCCTCACCCTCAACCGCCCCTCCGCCCGCAACGCCTTCACAGACGAAATGGCATCGTCCCTAGCAAAAGCCTATACCCTCCTCTCCACCGACCCCCGCGTAAAAGTCATCGTCCTCACCGGCTCCGACCCCTCCAACAAAACCTTCTGCGCAGGAATGGACCTCCACAACCGCGTCCGCCTCCCCTCCACCCGCGATGCCCACCGCGACACGGGAGGCCTCGTCGCCCTAGCAATGCACAACTGCTCGAAACCCATCATCGCCGCCCTAAACGGCTCCGCCGTCGGCGTGGGCATCACAATGGCCCTCCCAGCTTCCATCCGCATCGTCTCCCGCGACGCGAAAATCGGCTTCGTCTTTGGGCGGAGGGGGTTCAACATGGAAGCCTGCTCGTCCTTTTACCTCCCCCGCCTCATCGGCGCGGGTCCAGCGCTGCATCTATGCACCACGGGCGGCGTCTACCCCGCCACGAGCCCTCTCTTGCGCAACTTATTCAGCGAGGTCGTCGCGCCGGACGAGGTTCTCCCGCGCGCGCTGGCCGTCGCCCAGGACGTCGCGGCGAATGTGAGTACCGTGGCCGTGAGGGTGATGCGGGATATGATTCTAAGGTCGCCGGCGAGCCCGGAGGAGGCGCACCTGCTGGAGAGCAAGATCTTTTTCGACCTGTTTAGCGGTAAGGATAGTAAAGAGGGGATGGAGAGTTTTATGCAGAAGAGAGCGCCGCGGTTCGAAGCGACTATGGAAAAGGATGCTCCGACGGCGTATCCGTGGTGGAAAGAGGTTGATATCAAAGCAAAGATCTGATATTTCGCTGTATAGGTACATTTGTAAAAAAAATTAAAATCACATCATGAGAAAAAGTACTGAATGGACGGTCCTAATTGCGGCATGTGACCGCTAACCCAGTCCATCCATATGGAAGCCCCCTATCACACCGTAAACCAAGCCTACCCGCTTTTCAAGGCCTGTACTTCCACAACTTCGGGTCAAAGATGATATCGTACTCGTTCTTGGAGAATGTGCCAATGGCGCAACTCAGATCATGGTATCCCTCAAGTCCATTAACCGGCAGATCTTGCTCAGAGTCACCCTCCTCATGCAGGTTCCAGCTCCCGTCCAGTCTACCGTCTCGCGAGAAGAAAATCTCAACGTTCATCCTGCCGCCCTGAGCCGTAAAGATCATGCCGATACCTAGCGTCTCGCCGGGTTGGAAGGGTGTTGTGAATGACTTGCCGCCCCATCTATCGTTGATGTACTTGTGTCCGTCATCGCCGTGAACACCAAGACTGCCGCGATGCCATCCGGGGAGACGAAAGTTGGGATACGGCAGCGCGGTGAAGCCAAGAGCGAGGTCTACCTCACTTGCGGATCCGCGAATCTTGACCTCATAGTAAACCTTGAAGGGCTTGCCGGTGGCGAGAGGCGAATTGTGCTTGACCGAGTATAGAGGCGGATAGCCGATGATGGTGCTGTCGGGGGCATTCCTTTGCGTCGTGACCTCCCACCTACCCGAGACGGGCTGAGCCATTGTACCGCGGAATCCTTGAGGCTGGAGGAGCCATATCCTGTGTGTGCGCAGAGCCTCCAAAGCACTAGCGTCAAGGTCGATGGGCTGGACAAGAGGGTATTGGGCCACCCAGGCCTCACCTGCTTCAGACTCCTGCTCGGTAGAGTTGTTCGCAGGGGAACGATCAAACCCGCTGAAGAAGGCTGGGGGCGGTGGGAAGAGAGTGGTATCGGGAACCGCCGTCTCCCAGTCGTGCTTTGTCGATTCTGATGGCGGGGGGCCTGAAGGAGGAGCCGTGTAGTCATTGTGGGACGGCGGAGGTCCCTGAGGCGGCGCATACTCGCTCTGCTGATGTGAGGGAGGAGGTCCAGATGGCGGCGCATACCCTCCATGAGACGGAGGCGGGCCCGAGGGAGGCGCAAATTCATCAGCACGGCCTGGCGGCGGACCACTCGGGGCGGCGTACGGTTGACTCGGAGGCGGGCCGGAAGGAGGAGCATACTGCTGCTGGGCCGAATTCTGTCCCGGAGACGGACCAGCCGGCGGCGCGTATTGAGGCTGCTGCTGATTGCTGCTGGTCATCTTGGTGTCTTGTTGCTGTAATGAAGGAGGACGTTGCGCGGGACGCGGGGCAGGACTATCATCCTTGTCGGCCTTGCTGCCGAAACACATCTTTAGGAAATGGGGGGATGGGGGAGAAGGTTTTGGAGCTTTTTATGCAGTTCGTCTGGTGTCTGATCCTTCGTGGCCCGTTGTGCTTGCGGAACAATGGAGTGAGTCGGAGGGGTAATAGATGTTGCGGCGGATCAGGGTGGGTAGGCGCCTTGACGTCGGAATTGAGCTTGAGCTTGATCAGAGAGCAGTGAGAAATCTGAAACAATGCGACCCAGGCGATTGGGGGTTGGGAATTGGCAAATGTGCAAGATGTTTGCAGGTATGGAAAACCGTCTAGCGTCGCGGGTGATGTAGGTGAAATGCAGCGATGATGCACGACGGGGGCGGATGAGGCGTTGATATGAAGAATGAACAAAGGTGGCTGTGTTTCCTTTGGGCGGTAGCAGATGACGGGATTCTAAGGTAAGGTAGGCTGACTGGCTCCCCCAGTGATGATGGGAGGACCATGATGGGTGGAACTTTGGAAGCTGTCCGCAATAGGCAGCTGGGATCCATTTTTCTTTGGCGATAGCTGCAGGGCGCTGGCAGCTGCATATTCCCCCGCAGCAACAGGTACAAATGACACGCCAATGAGCTGCCCGCGGTTGAAGTGCTTCTGTACCTTGGTTTACCCAAGGTATGCTAGGTACTCTATCATTCGACGCCTCAAGGTTAAAGTACTTACCATTTACAAAGCTACATACGCCACTTTGACCGAGCAGACAATGACAATACCAGCAAAAAGGAGTCTCTTGTGTGACCAACGGCTTTTTCACCCTCTTTACCTTTACCAACACACACTGGACGAAAGAAGTAAAACACCAGCCACGGCGGTGGGCATCAGGGAGGCCGCCTACCTAGGTAATTGCTAGATGGCGTACCCTGACCATCACCACCCGGCGCAATCGGGCGGAACTGGTGTGGGGGCAATCGGCGCAGCTAGCTTTTTAAGCTTACCCAGTGGGCCGAGACTTCCATCCCCTTCAATGCCACTGAACCATGTCACCATGAATGGCCCGACAAGGTGTCGAGACGTTGCGGTTCGCCCCCCCGCAGTGTCTCATTGGTTTCTATATTTCCGTAAACAAAAGTCACATTGGAAACCGGCAGAATTCAGATTTGATCCCATACCTTACCTATCAACCTGATATCACTCCGTTGCTGACTAAACAAAGTGTTGGCCCCAGACTTGGATGGGTTCCTTTCATCGTCAATCTACCTGCTTACCCACTCAGGTCAACGGAAGACTACTATAGAATTGTGACTTTTGATGACGGCCTGAAAATGTTTCATTTCATGGGTTGAGAATGCCCACCTCATGAGGAGTGTACTCGAACCCAACTGCAGCCATAATTTGGCTGACTTGAAAGGCTCAGAGCCACGATGATCTCTCTACGACTGCATCCATCGATAAGTCTTGGACGGGCAAATTGCCATACTGAATACGAATGATTACGGCTTATATCCTACGACTTCTACCCGCGTCCTATACCGTCACATATACAGGGATACGGTCGATGGTATGTAACTGAGGGTAAGCTCCGTCTCTCTACCAGCCTGGAACTGGTCCGCTTCTGGGCGCCATTGAAAAGTGCGGTAATAGATGCTTGATTTCTCTATGTGCACAGTGATGCCTGGGCACAGCACTAATCCTATCCTCTGACTAAGTATATAATGATTGTCTTCCAATGTGGGTTGTTGGTGCCCATCTTCCAAGCTGACATACGAATAGTATCTTGCTTTGATACAGGGTAGTCAGTGTCAAGAACTTAGACAATGACAAAGTTCGCGCCTTGGAATGCCGGCACTCTGGCATGCTGGACTGGCTTTCTCTCGGCCCTCTTAATCGGCGGCAGGTAGAAAAGCTCAACGTGACATCCAAGCGGAAGAACCATCTGATGTACACAAGACGAGCAGATGATGGTACTCAAAAGACATGGCTGTGGGACATCTCTAAATGAGAATGATAGAGAAGGTCACAGTTGGAAGCGATGCGTGATGCATGTAGTAAAAGTAAATGTGTATTCGGCACCTGGAGACCTACTCCTGTGCGTCAGACGGTGAGCTGGACCTAACAGATAGCTGCCACCAATCATGAGTTTGAAATTGCAACAAACTTGTGCAAGAATGATAAAACCCCAAGCCTGAATCATCCCCTTGTAAAAGAGCTACGCAGCATATGGTTTATGCCACCGCAGCAAAGTAGAAAGATAATTTCATGAAGCATCGTAAGTTGTTCTTCACCAACAACCACTCCTCCCCATCAGTTCAGCCGCATAGCAAAAGGATCATGCCCTTTTGCGTGACCTCAAACCCCCAAGTTTAGGCGCCGAAGGAGCTCGCCTCGTCCGAATTGGGGTAGAAGAAGGCAACCACAGCGATAATGATGTATGTCGCACACAACAAAGCACCCTCGAGGTAGTTACTTCTTCCGTCGAGTACCAGGAAATTGACAATGAAAGCTGAAACGAACAGGCAGACCGTCTCGAACAGGGTAAAGTACAACGACATGTCGCGGTCCATGGCCCAGCCGATGATGACGACAATGGGCGTGATGAAGAGAGCGATCTGGATGGAACTACCGACGGCGACACCAATGGCCAAGTCCATCTTGTTCTTCATAGCGACAGTGACGGCAGTGACGTGCTCTGCTGCGTTACCAACAATGGGAAGGATGATGAGACCGATGAAGATTTCGCCAAGAGGACTCGTCTTAACAACCTCGTTAATGGAGTCGACAAGAAACTCGGCGCAGACGGCAACGAGGGCGGTGGAGAAGAGCAGGAGAAGAACGGCTGCAGTGCGGGACAGGTGATCGTTGTCGCCGGTCTCATCCTTGGCACTGAGACCACTGTTGACAGTCGCAACACCAGGGATCTGAGCGGGGAATACTCCTCCAGGGGGGCGAACGTTGCCATACTGGTTCAGACGATCGGGCAAAGAGTTGGTGCGGCGGATACCGAAACGGACTCGGGGAACTGGGCCGGCCGGGGCAGCGGGGCCCGCGGACGGGGTCTCGTCGGGCGTGGTGAAGACAGCGGGGGCGAAGTTCTTAATCGACAGCCCGCGAAGGCCAGACACCGGGCGGCTCTTGACAGCTTGAGTAGTATCGGTCGGCTCTGAGGGACCAGTAGGTTGATCGGCAAAGTCCAGACGACGGGGTTCACCAACTTGAGTGTTGCTGGCCAAAGGCTCATGGCCTTCAACATCAACCAGGTTGTTCCGGGAGGTCTTCTTGGACTTCTTCTGGTGCTTGTGATGACGTCTGCGATGCTTTCTATGCCTACGAGACCTGTCTTCCTCAACAGCCTCATCGCTACCGACAGAGTTGAAGCGAGGGATGGCTGGACGACTGGCGGACCCTTCAGAGCCGTGAGCTGTACCGACAGAGGAGTTACGGGTTCGGGGGAGACCATCAGTGTTGACGGAAACCACGCTGGACTTGCGCCTTCTACCGGCGCGCATGACCTTTCTCATCGTCTTGCGTACAGTGCCTCCAGAGCTGTCAGAGCCGTCTGAATCGGAATCGGAGTCGGAGCTATCTTCAGAACTGGAAGAGTCAAAGAAACCAATGGCCGGACCAGGAGCAGACTCAGCGTCCACAATGTGTTGCGGTGTAGACTCGTACATGTAGGCATGAGACTTCAACTGGAACAGGAGGTACAAGATGTACACCAATAGAAGGACCTGGTTGAGATTAGCAAACGTCACCTGGATAATACATCATAGAATGCTCACCACACTGGTACCACGGCTGATCTTGAGAGTCTCGTCCTCAGCCTTGAAGGTGTTTTGGAACGAAGCGTGGAAGGCAGTCTGGGAGAGTGATTAGTTTCAGAGTATAGTCCGGGGCGACTTCAGGAAACTTACAGGAAGCACCAAACTGATGACACTCAAACTAAGCAGACAAGCACTCATCTGCGTGACGGTGCTGTTGTAGATCTAAAAACTGTGTCAGTACAACACTCGTTTCGTCAGACAGAGCCAATTGAACTCACCTGCTCTCGGAAGCGCAGGCCACCGAGGAAGAAGCACATGCCCAAAATGAGCAATAAGTTGGCCAGAATAGAGCCGAGAAGAGACGCCTGAACGATGCGAATTTCATCCTAGATCCAAGTCAGCTGGCAAGTCCGCTAGGATTTTGTGTTGGATTAGCATACCTTGACAAGCGCGATGCTGAAGAGCCACAAAAGATGTACATGTCAGCAAAACTGCAATCAAGTATAATCTAGGAAACAGCAACCGATGCGTGGGCTGCGGAATAGATTTGGGAGAAGAAGACTGCATGATTTGGGACTTGATTGATGTGGTGTCTTGTGGTATAGACTTCACGTCTCTGTCGCCCGCAGAAGGGTAGGAACATACATGCTGGATTGGAGAAATAAGCATTAGCCAAGACTGCGCCAAGACATTCAGAGGGTTGCAAGGTTCGAGATATTCAGGGCCAAGATCCAGTGAGCGGCTTGGCCAAGACAGGTGCCAAGACAAACCGCAACACATTTGGATCTTTGGGGTTCCCCACAGCGAGCCTCTCCAGAACCGCACTCGTAAAGTGATTTGGAAGGACGGATGGCAATAGAGTTGGGTTGAACTTACAAGATAATCAACTCGACGGCATTGCCGAAAGTCACGTTCAGGAGGGCGCCAATGGTGTCACCAAGCTTGCTGGCGACGGACTCGGTGGCGTGGCTGAGCAGGCCGGCGAGTGGAATGATGGCGATGGCATTCATTGCGAAGACGATGCCAGGGCTCACGCCGAGGGCTTTGGTGATGATGCCGACGGGGACGAAGACGAGGAGCACGTTGACCCAGCTGTGGAACAGGATCATCTTACACGTGAGGTAGAAGCGGGCAAAGACGCCAGGTTTCTGCTTCTGTTCGGGAGTTTTGTTCTTCTTCAAAGCACCCTCGTCGTCTACGACAGCCCCCTGCCGCGAAGTTTTCGAAGATATAGCAACATCCTCGAGGTCGCGGGGACTTGTTTTGTCATTGATGTCGTCCGGGTATGTGAGGGTGAG